CCCTCCCTCTTCTTTTACACCTAAAACACACAGCTCACTAAACACCGCCAAACCAGGAAAAAGCACAAGCGACTCCAGGGAGTCCTAGATACCACTACATCCCTCCCCACGTCAACAGAATTATCCCGATAAACGACGCGCAAGCACGAGCGCCAAAGGCCCCTATATACCACTACGTTCCTCCTCACATCGACACAACCAACCCGATAAGCGGAGCGCGTCTCCTCACCCGCATCGAGAAGCGATGGGCAAAAAAGTCCCTAATGCAGGGATTCGATTATGAAATAGATTATGCGGCGCTTTCGCCAGAAGCTTGGAGGAAACAAGTTGAAGAGGAAGATTGGTGGCGTGATTTACATGCTCCTCTGAAATGCAATGCCTAGATCAGCGATGATATTTTGGGATAATAGTACGGATGGGTATGATAGCATGGATAAGGAGGATTGAGAAAGGGCTGTACTAGTGGATTGGACTGTTTATCCTCCTTGATATTCTACAGTTTATTTGGTATGCGAGTCCTAAGTTGGTTTCTTATCGAGATCTTAGGCGGAAATATACACACTGCTTATGAGTGTACCTGAGTGAAATTGATGTCTAGGTATGATTTGGCGATACAGGTGTTTGTAACGTTAGTACAAGAAAGTAGTTAAAGTTCTCTCCCGGCATTCTGTGCTTGTTACAACTACACCTAAAGGACTTAGCATGACCGACTCTTTGACTTATAGAGTATAAGTGTATACTACTAAGGATAACGTGGGGTTAAAGAGTTCATTGGGTGCGTGTCTTTTCTACAGCGGTGTAATGCAAGGAGCTAGGTCAAGAAGCCTTAGTGAATCACATCATCATCTCCAACAAAACCACAAAACAAGCATAAGTTACAGGATTATATTAAGTGGGAGCAGAGTATATGCACCGAACAGTCCTGCAAAAACACACACAATAAAAAAGCGCTTCAAACGCAATTCCCTCATCCCACTCTCCCCCAACCCAATCTGACCCAGTCCAAGCCAGATGAAACCCAAAAGCTGTCTCAAGGCTAAGAACACCATCCATACGACAAGTGAATGAAGGTTTTTCACTACAAGAGGAATGGTAAGAAGCAGACAAACAAAACAATACACCAAAAAGACGGGAGAGACATACAGAAAGAGACAGTTAGGTCGCAACAAAACCGAGAGAGTGCAAGTAAAACAAGAACAAAGAGAAGAGCCAACGAATCAAGGGTATGAAGATTGGCCGGGGGTGGCGGGCAGGCTATGCTAAACATATGTACTCATACAAGACAAGAGAGCGATTTCGAAGGAGGGAGGTATAGAGAAGTTGCGTCGATTGTATGTGTGGGCTCGTTGTGATAAACACGCTATTACTGTCCACCAGAGGCCAAGTGGTCGGCAGCCTGTAATGTGCGTTAGTATAGAGTCTATTGTTTCAAAAGCAATGTCATTTCGCTTACCTTGTTGATATCATAGTCGTACTTCTCGAGCGCAGAGAGAGCCTCGTTACGTCCATAGCCCATACCAGTCAACTTCTTGAGGATGGGGTCGTCATGTTCGGTTCCAGAGCTGATGGCACGACCAAGCGAAGGCATCTGAGGCGATAAGGTTTGAGATTTGGCAGCATCTTCGTTATCAAGGGTGTCAAAGACGGACTTTCCAAAGTCTGTTGACGCTTGTTGCGAGTGCGAACCCTTGTCCGTCTGCGACGCTTCTAGGTTGGAGAAGATGGCGTCCCAGTCTTGAGATGAGGCAGCTGGTTGTGGCTGCTGGGGCTGGCTTCCAAAGGTTTGCGAGAGATGTTCAAAGTCGCTGAAGCTGTCATCACCGCGAGGCTTACCGGTAGGGGTCTGCTGCGAAGCCATGGTGTTCGACTTGGAGGCTGCGGGTGAGTCAAACACAGGGTTGAACTCATCAAGACCTTCCCGGTTCTGGGAAGAGAACATAAAGTCATCATCAACGCGGTCATCTTCTTTGGCATCGGCCAAATCATCAAATCCAGCATCGAAGTCGTCATTAAAGGCAGACTTGCCAAGCTGAGGTACATTGGAGGATGGGGATGGGCCCTTGTTTGTTTCGGCACTACCGTATGTCAAGGCAGAGTGGTACTGGTCGGAGGGGACAGTCGATGATGGTGTGTCGAGCGGAGGTGGTGATGTTGTAGCAGACTTGGACGAACCGCCAAAGAGAGCTGCTCCATGGCCACCAGGGGGGTTGAAAGACTTCTCGGGACCTTGCGCGGTGTCAGGGGAACCTGGAGAGGTTGGGTTCTCGCGAGCGGGGAGAAGGCCACCAAATTCTGGAGGGAATTGGTTCGACCCGGTCCTTGTCTGGTTTACACTAGACTCGTAGGTTGGCGGAGACTTTTTGCGCGCCGGGAGAAGGCAAGCCACTCATGTTGGAGTCCAAGCGAGTGGTTGGTGGTGGAGCCCTGTAAAGCTCGTCGCTGGAGGCGGTACCTGGCCGCTGCTGTTGCTGAGAGCGCTGCTCTTGCCCAGCGCTGATGCGCTTCTGATTAGGTGATGCAGATGTGAAGTTGTCGTCAAATCCTCGTCCATCGTTGCTGTCGCTGTCATCATCATGAGCCAGGTCTTCAATTGGGGGGAACTCCTTGTTGAATCTGTTGGAGTTGTCGGCAGGTGCGGTTGTGTTAGATGCGGGACCAGTGGTTTGGCGGCTAGGGCCGAAGCCAGCGAAAGCAGCGTCAAAGTCGTCCTTTCCTCCACGTGGCTGTTCACCAGAAGTGCTGCCGAAGGGGTCTGCACGGCTGTTGTTCCTGTTGGGGCCACTCATGCCGCTCTCACCGGTTTGGTTCTGTTGTAGCGGCGTGATGGCGTCTCGCGGGAAAGCGCCAGGCACGTCCACACTAGCTGACGGTGCGCCAAAGTTTGAGAATGTATCCATACGGTCCTCAGGCTTGGTAGTTGAGCGCTGAGTATCGCTAGTCACACTGGCCACAGGAGACGCCGAGAAGTTCCGGTTAAACAATGCAGGGTTGAAGTTATCAGTCTCTGTCCTGCCAGTCTCTTGTCGCTCGACAGTGGACTTCTCAGGCACGGGGGTGCCCACAGGCGAAGCCTGCGAAATGGTAGGCGTCTCATTGCCAGGAGCGCCGGGGCCACCGTATCTGCTAGCAGGGGCAGTGGCTCGTACAGAGGAGCTGAATGAATCCGATCGCTGGCCACCTTCCTCTCAAGGGCAGAAAGGCAGAGCCGAATTGACGTGAGTCTGGAGGAGCTGGTGGCTCCGCAACACGGGGAGACTCTTGGTAAGATGATAGAGGAGGCGAAGTGGAAGGCGTGGGAACATCAGGGCCTTCAGACGAGCGTACCGACTGGCCTGATGGTACCGAGAAGCTAGGGCCCTGGTTCTCACGGAAGGATACAGAGGGTGCAGTGCTCTGAGGGGTACCAAACGAGCCGAAGACGCTATCAAAGTCCTTGTGAGGTCCCTCGCGCGCAAAGCCAGACGGTGACATGGTGTTCTCGGTAGCAGGTTGAGGCGTCTTACGGAAAAATGGGTTGGTGCTCTGGCTTGTCGTGGAAGCTGCGGGACTGACTACAGCAGGTGTTTGGATTTGAGGGCTTCGTACGCCTTCCTCATGAGACTTGGACAAGTCGTTCATCTCATTCTTGATCTTATCGCGCTCGCCCTCGTTAGTAGCAAGCTGCTTCTTGTTGATCGCAACCATACCCTTCTGCTGGCGGGCATCATTCCTCATCTTGTCTAGTTGCGGGCGTAGCTGGCCAATTTCAGCGTTTAGTTGACGAATGCGTTCTTTCAAGTTGTTGTTCTCGCGCTGGTCCGCTTCAAGTTGGCCTCCCACCTGGCGGTGCTGGTTCTGGAGATCCTGGTACATGCCCTCGATATTCACAAGGTCCACCTGCAGCTTTCGAGTCTCCGTGCGAGAGGCGGCGAGACGATCCTCCAAAGCTTTAACCGCCTTGACCTCCTGGTCGAACTGAGTTTTGAATTGCGAGAGACGAAGCTCAAGGTCGCGCTTCTGGGTAGTGACGCTGTTGAGATCACTCTCAGTGGCTGTCTTCTTGTTTTGGACTTCCTGCATTTGATTCCGTAGGGTTGTCATCTGGTTGGACATATTGGCTAGATCAGTAGAATCTTGCGTCAGTTTCTTGTTGAGCTCAGCATCAGTCTCTCCGCCCAATAAGTCGTCCATTGCAGATGGTGTCGAAATTGCGTGTGCGCCAGAGGTACCGGACTGGCCTGTAGAGTGTGCCGTAAGGGTTTGACCAAAAGAAGAGCTAGGCATAAACGGCTTAAAGGTGGAAGCGGGGTTGCGCGGTTGCGGCTGGAATGGAGAAGTGGACGAAGTTGGCTTGCTCCCGAAAGGATCGCTCTCGAAGGGCTTGCTGAAAGTGGCAGAACCACCTGTCGATTGCGGCTGCTGGGGAGCTGGTACTGGCGCAGAGAAAGCATCTAAACCAAAGAGATCATCGGCAGCAGACTTGGGAGCACGAGGCACTGGGGGCGGAGGTTGAGGGGCTGTGACTGGCATTGCCTGATTGGCGGGGGTCCGTAGGCTCGGAGGGATCAAACTAGGCGGTAGCGTTGTGGGAAGTTGGTCTCCTTTCCGTTGCTGGCGAATGAGATACATGGCGACTGCGAACTCGTCCTTGGACAACTGTCCCTCCGAGTTGATGTCTGCAAGGTCCCATATTCCTGCAAGTACATCTTCTGGTAGACCAGAGTCACTGAAGAAGCGCACTGCCTGGTCTCCAGTGATGAAACCTCGGCCCATGGTATCCACTCCCTTGAACAGATTGTCGTACGAGGCCTTCTCTTGCGGGCTGATCAACCAGTCGCTACCGGCGGGTTGGGGAGGTGGGGGTGGCACTCCAAATGGCTGGCGTCCGAGCGGACTCGATTGTCGTGGCACATTCTGCTGGCCGCTGAACTGACGTGGAATGGCCATGGATTGATCTGGACGTCCTCCTGGTGGGGGTTGGAGTTGCCCTCGACGAGAGGCGGCTTCGTACAGGCCTGGAGGTAGGGCAGTAGGGAGGGCCTTCATGTTGCCTGTTCGGTACGAGGCTAGCATGTGCATGGCGATGATGAACTCGGTCACGTTGAGGGCCCCGCGCTGCTCGGTGTCGGAGAGGTTCCATATGCGACCGAGGACTTCGTTGGGTAACCGCGCCTTTTCGAAAATCTCTTTTGCGTTCTCGCCTGGTGAAGATTAGTATAGTCGGAAACCGAGGGCGTACAGAGCAAATCGTACCAGAAAGCACGCCATTGACGGCGCCAGACTTTTCGAACAAGCCTGCATACTCGGCAGCTTTGGCAGGTACTAATGGCGGCACGCGGATTGGGCCGTTTCCGCTCATTTGAGGTTGTATGGAACCTGTGGGTTGTGGGGAGAAGCTGGGGGCGGCGGGAGGGGCGGACGGGATACTCAAGCCCTCGAATTTAGGCAGCGGCGCGGCTACACAAGAGTCAGCATAGCCACACGTATGGTGACAATCGCAAAGGGCTTACGTCTAAACGCCAGCTCGGGCGCAGGATCTCGGCCTGCCTGGTAGTGTCCGATGAGGCGCAGGACCTGGCAGAAGCCCGCCATGGTCAACAGACCGCGGTTCTCCGTGTCTGCAATCTGCCATATTTCACCTAGTACGGCTGGTGCGAGCTTGGTGCGCTCAAAGAACTTGACGGCAATCTCGCCGGTTATGACGCCCAGCTTCTCTGTGTCGGCCTGCTGGAACAGATACTGGAACACACGCTTCTCCTCTGGCGTCAGGTTGAGGATGGGCTGGTCTGCGCCGCATTAGCTCGAGATTACCCACAAACACCTGGCTGAAGAAGCAAGCAGGTAGGTAGTGACATACTCAATTCCCCGCTTTGCGAGGGGTCCGCCATGGCTGTGGACTGTCAAACAATGGGGGGTTCAGAAGACGACGAGGCAGCAGCCTGGGGCAAAGAGGCTGATGCTGCCGTGTAATGGCGCGCGCGGGGAAGCTGTAGGCGGCCGTGGGATCTCGGTTGGAGGAGGCTAGCAGCAATTTGGAAGAGCGTGTACGCGACGAGTCCTCCAGACGTACGTCAACAAGGGGGTCACGTTCCGGGTCACGGTGAAAGTGAAGGGTAGCAATGGTGTTGATTGATAGTCGAGGTTGGAGTTGGAGCTTCATCCTCGTCGTCGCGGAAGCTACTCTGGTGCTAGTGGGTGTGGTCGGTGCTCTCAATCCATCCTGCATCCTGCATCCGCCAACTCATCATTGGGCCCGACGCACGGCAGCTGTCAACCAAATCCTGTGCGAATCACCCATCCACTCATTTGGCTGCACATGCGCCGCCTCCGCTAACATGTACAGCTGGCTGCAGAAAGCCGCTATCTGCAGCCACTGGCTCATCACTTTGTCTAAGACATACGCAATCGCACAAGCACGTGTCAGGCTGAAGTGCCAGCCTAGGCCCAGGCTTCCATTAGTGGCTACTACTACTACTACTACTACTACTACTACTACTACTACTACTACTACTACTACTACTACTACTACTACTACTACTACTACTACTACTACTACTGAGTCTGTTTCCAGCCCGAACTGATCTCAAAATGAGCATGCAGGCTAATTAGTGGCTCAATACTAGCTACAAGGAAAACGCAAAACTCAATCAAGTGGTAGGGTATCAATTGTTGTACACTGGTCTACGTCATGTCTTCGTTGTTACATGTGTTGTACAGGCCGAGTTGTGAAGCAACTACTCATCGCCGCTCGGTGCGCCCTCTATCGTTCTTCTCCCGCCAGCACTTGGCAAACGCCAGAGTAGGGCTGGCCTCTTCGCGCCTCCCCCACGCCCGTCCTAGCAGCCAGTCCGTGACGCTAATGACCTTTGCCGTTCTATCCCAATGCTGGCCCTCCTCTGTATGCTCGATAATGTGGTTTAGAATCCGTCCTTCCTCGTCAAACTCGAACTTGAACAGCCCGGTAAACTCCTGCTGTGGTCGTTTCGAGCCCCCGACAATACTTGTAATCTTTGACACCACGTCGCTGACCTGTCCGCTTTCCTTTTCAGACTTGCATGTTTGCCATTTGACAATCAACTTTTCGTTGCGTATATTGCTTGCAGACGGTGATGTCCCGTTCTTGATCATGCGCTCAGATAATATCTTGAGCTTCACATTGCCAAGTACAGGCATCTGGCCCCATGCTACTGGTGCCGTCCATAGCGCAGCTGCATATGAAAGTTTCCCGCTTACCGTGGGCAAGTGCGGGTGCGTCGAGGGGAAGAGGTGGAGGCTTATGTGTGGCGAGAGAATGTCTTGAGGTAGCGGCGATATTAGCAGCGTTGGGAGGCGATCATGTAGCACTCTTATAGCTGCCATTGCGTTAGCGACACAATCCTATTTTCTTTCATCTTATCTTGGCTTACTGTTTCCCAGCTTCAAGTTGCGCTCGTTCGAGCGCGCCTTCTCGCACTCATCGAGCTCCGGATATGAGCATGGCGACGAGCTCGTAAACCAGTGCCGTGAGACTGATGCTTGCCTAACGCCGACGTCGGTAATGGTGCGCTTGTACTGCTTGAGCCCTAGGATCCGGGGCGCTGTGAGCGATCTTTCAACGTGCAAAGTGGAAAGTCGCGGGCGGGCAAAAGTCGAGAAGCGCCGCATCAAACCGCTGGTCATCTGTGTGGATAGGGATATGCGACCATGTGTAGGGATATGGATATTTCAATGCGGGATTGCGGAGGGTGAATCACGCTAGTTGGCCGTACCAGAAGCAACCGTGGGTCCATTGGAAATGCCAGGGTATCGCATCGTGACGTAGCACCGGTCCGAGCACCGGTCCGTAACCCATCACCTAGCCTTCTTGCAGACTTCCTAGACATGCTACTGCGCCACAGACATCACTAGATACTCGACACCCTGTAATTTCCTTGAGCCGCTAACAACACATAATCCTGTAAATCCGCGGCTTAATTGAGATATCCTTATGCTGAGCACTTTGTCTAGCTAGAGCCATCGAGAGCTGCAAACAACTTCTACTCTACTGCAAGGGACATCAGAGAATACTTCTGATATTGTGTCTATACTGGCAATTATCATCTGAGCTCCACACGCACCCGCTCCTGCGTCCAGGTGATTTTCTGCCCAAGGAAATCAATCTCCCCGTAACAGGTTATTGTTTGCAGCAATATATCCAACAGTGGTCGCATAAGCCATCTACGCAGCCATCCTACACAAGATTAGATAATACCCAAAAGTACTTTGTGTGAGTACGTACACATTTATCGTCCCGGCAATAGTCGTATCCATCAGAAAGATCGTAGACATTGCAAATTGAGTTATAATACCCCCCGATTTGTGCGGCTAACCAGTCACAGCTATTGCGCTCCCCTTCTACACAATACTTTCGCTAATTAAGTGAGTTTTGTTCAATACGGTAGCGGGGGTGCTTAGGTGCGGGAGACTTACGTCCACCAAAGTCTCGCAACGATCTCTGCGTCGGCATTCAAGATCCTTTCCAAAAGCTTGCGAGGCAAGAGCAATTAGACTGATGAGATAGATGTTAATTTTGAGTTGATTTTCAGATTTTCATTCCTTGTTTGGGTTCTGAACGAGATAATGTAGCGTATAGTGTGAGAGGTATTATGAGAGTAAGAAATCAGTATTTATCCGTAGAAAAGGACTCTGGAAAGGGATTTCGAGAGAGGGAGACACTTGGGCTTATACAGTATTACTCCGCGATGTACTTGAGCGAAGCCCCACTAGTAGCTAATCGACTATGAATAGGTTTCCAGATGGGGAGATACTCACGTAGGTTCATACCGTATTACACCCGCACTGTCACCGGCCGAAGCCCCACTAGTGGCTGATCGACAACGATTAGAGGTACTATTCGCAGACCATGGCTCGCGGTTCGCAAACAGTGTGAGTGTTATGAAGCGAAGGTGTGATCTTAATACGCAACACAACAGTACGCTGTTTACAATGAGCTCTATCATCCGTATGAGGCTAATAGCCAGCTTTCAAAGCGGGCAAAAGATACTTGGACGCAGCTTGCGCGTACATGACACTTACCGAGGGTTCTGAAGCCAAGCTACCGGCTAATGCCCGTATAATACATGGCTGCCTATAAGTGCAGTCTCTGGATGAGCGAAGATGTCAATCTGCTCATCCTATTCGTCACCGTCTGGAGTCCACGCATTTCAATTTCGTTTTTCTGGGGACTGATCAAGCTCTGTTAGATCTGGGCGGTCAGTGAAATACGGGCAGAATATAATAGCTCTTCGTACGTAATAGTGAACTCAATAAGGCAAGTAGGCCGTAATCTCTATGCACTCAATAGTATATTCTGAGTCTCTGTATCTAGCATATTTCTCTACAATAAAAAGGGCCATGCTATTACTGTATGTCTGAGTCAAAACCAGAAATGAACGAGATGAATAAGCAGAGATGTCAACAAGCAAGTCAAGCTGGCTTGATTCTTATCGTTTGCAGACCACGGACGATTCTCTGGAACTTGCTTACGGGCACCACTTGCTATATTGGCTAGGATATTTCCTCCGTCATGACCAGGCAGAAGAGCTTTGTAGCTTGCTCTCTTCCGCCTGCCGATTATTTGTGCCGTAGCGAGACCGTAGTTCTGAGAAACGACAGCACAGAGGAATTGTTGTTCCTGAAACTAGTATTTGACGGGAGGGATCACCCAACTGGCTGCGAATTCCAGAACTGATATAATCTTCTCCATGTCAAAGAAACCTAGCACAACCGAGAGATAGCCTGTTTTAAATGTATTACTGTGCGATATCTTGACGTCCACGTGTACTAACAGCTCTGACGCAGAGCAAGGCGCTAAAGTCAGGTACAAACTAGATAGACGTATGACTGATCTGCGCTTGGACTTCATCCGACATATGCTTATCTTTGTATGATGACTGTGCTGTTTATGACAGAATATAATTCAAGAGCTAACGCATCACAAAAAATAAGAGTAAAGTCTATGATGT